TTTTTAAAATTATATTTAACTTATAAAACAGGTAGTACATGTGTATGGTAAACAAAAGACTGCCAGACAAAGTCCTTGAAAAGTTTTTGTGTCTTCCATTTTCTCTCCGAAAAGTACCCTTACTGGTTTTGCATGTGTCCTTTCAGAAATGCTCTTTGCATAACAAAGCACATATCCGTGTTCTCTCATCTGGGATGCAAATGATAACTTCTTTATACTGTTCCAAGACCTTGATGTTGTTAGTTAATATCTTAGGGGTCTTTCCATATCAACACGTACAGAACTGCCCCCTTTCTTTTCAGCAGCTCCATAGAATTCCACTGAAGGGTTCAAACCATAATTTAATTAGTTTTCCCTTAGAGAGTGAGGCAGCCATGCATCCAGCTCAAGAGATTAGACCCTGGAGCCAGGTAGTGTGGGTTCGAATCCTGACCCTACCCCCTCCTTCCTGTATAAACTTGGACAAATGACTTAATTTCTTGCCTCAGTTTTCATATCTGAAAAAGGGAATAATGAATAATGACCATGCTACTGAACAGGTTTGTTCTTGAGGGTTAAGTGAGTTAATATTTGTGAGACACATGAATGTTTCTTACCTAGACGGATATCTAGATTGTTTCTAGTCTTTTGCTGCTACAGGCAATGCTGAATATTCGAGTACTTGTGTGTGCACAAGATCCTAGAGTTTGAATCACTAAAGGGTAAAAAGAAAAAATATATATATATACCCCCTTTCTCCGCTGTATTTTTCTTCTTTAGTACTTAACACCATTTGACATATACATTTAGAACATTGTATTTTTAATTCCATAAATTAGCCCAAATTTCTTCTCTTAACATTTGGAAAGAAAAATGACAACCAGAAACCTAAGGAACCTCCTGTGTTCCCGATTTTTAAAGAGGGCTTTAGAAAGAACCCGGACGTCTGGAAGCTGCATGTTCTGTAGTGCTCACCATGCTTTTTCCTGAGGGAGATGGGAGGTGAGGGAGTCACTGTTCCTCCGTGTCTGTGGGGGGTGTGTATGTGTGTGTGTTGGGTGGGGGGGCTTGCAGAGACCCTGTAGACAATGGAAGACCTGTGAGTGTCTCTGATACGTGTAATGACATGGACAGCTGAATAAATTCTGGAGGAAAAAGAAGAAAAGATGCCATTAATTTTACTTAGAAGTTTCAGGAAGAAAGATGTGGCGATGCTGCCTTGTGCACGTCTACTCTCATCCTTACCACATTGGCGGGACTTCCAGCTGCCAGTCCCCGAATTTCCTTGCTTGAGGATTTTGGCCCCAGCATGTCAGCTCAGAAGTATAAGGAATGGATGAAATCCCCCCGAACCCCACCCCACCAAAATCCCTCCATCAGTGACTGGCAGGAAGAAGTGTATAAATACCCAGCACTCTAACCCCCTCCATGGGGAGACTCTGAAGTCCCAGAGTTCTCCAACAGGATTAAGTCTTAGTTACTCACGATGGGACCCTGCTGGAAAACAGGTCTTTGTTGCTGCCCTCCCTTCCTGATCTGATTTCCCCTCGCCCCACTGGTGTCTCCTGGGATCACCTGCCACATAAACTGCTTGCCCTTGATGCCTGGCTCAGTGTCTGCTTCCAGGAGAACCCAAAGCAACACAAGACATATTAAAGTTGTGTTTTAGGGAGAGGGAGATTGTGCATGTATGTGTAAGATTTGGAAGTTCATAAATTTCTATTCTGGGTGTGTAATGTCTTTGTGCATTAGCCATACTGGTGGAATAATGTTAGTTAATGTGCAAGGCGATTATCTTAGATTTCTCACCTTAGGATAGAAGAGAATTGTCATTTCCATTTATCAGACCAATTTCCTTCAGATATCAAAAATTGCTGAAGTCAGTTTACATCTCTGTTTAGGAGAAAATAATTTGATGCTACATTAAATGACATTTCGGTCTACTCAGGATCAGAACAATATAGTTGTTTGAAGTGGGAAGGCAACATGTTAAAAAATTCTAGTGGAAAAATATGATGGCACTCCCCACATTTGTCATGTTGCTGCCAGTTACACGGGAAGCCAGTTCAAGAGGGAGATCTTTCACCCTAAAACTCAAAACCCGAAGATGCCCGGGTTTGGGTCCTGAGGTCCAAACAACTAACTTCAAGGCTAAGTTTCAAGATCTAATCTATGAGTGTGTAGATGGAAATTCTTGCTGAACTACGTGTGAAAGTGCAGCTGATAAGGCAATTGCTAAGTTTTTACTGAACAGGAACGAGATGAAATGAGATACTGGAAAATCAGAGCAATACACCCTGGTTTGAAAAACAGTGTGTTCATTTGGGAGAGACAACAGGCATTAAAAAAATGTAAGAACTCGTTTATTCAAATTGTGCCTCCCTTTGTGCATCTGTCAAGGGGGGGGTCACCTTGATGATTGCTTGGATAGGTCTGGGGGGTTAATTTAAAACATAAACATAAGTTGTTATTAAAAGACCTGCTTTTAAGAGGTAGAATGACATGAGCTTTTCTGCAGATCTTCCTCAGAGCAGTGTTTATATCAGCAAAAGATTGCAAACTACCTAAATGTCCCTCTCACAGCGGCATGGCTAAGTCACTACAGTGTAGTTTCGTGTGCAGTTCTGTACAGAGTTAAAAAAGGGAGGCAAGTAGTCACTCAGTCACAACACTGAGAGAGATCTAAGGTGGTGGAGTGAAAAGAAAGTTGCAGAAAAAAATGCACATCTATATTTTAAAAAGAAACTATATGATTTTATAAAGATACATATATATGTGGATCTAAGTGTGTGTGTGTGCATATTGATTTTTTTTAACAAATTTTATTTATTTGAGAGGGCAAGAGAGAGCACAAGTGGTGGGGAGGAGCAGAGGGAGAGGGAGAAGTAGACTCCACGCTGAGCGCAGAGCCCGACGCGGGGCTCGATCTCACGACCCCGAGATCATGACCTGAGCCAAAATCACAAGTCAGTCGCTCAACCGATTGAGCCCACCAGGAGCTCATATTGCTGCATATTGAATTTTTATTTGTCCCTGTCTCCCCTGCTAGATAGTAAGCTCTGTAAAGGCAAGAACTATGTTTTCTATGTTTCGTTCACTCTTACACCCTCACTGCCCTTAGTGGTGGCTCACTAGTTTTTTTCAGGAGTTATTTACCTTTGTGTGTATGTGTATGTTGCTTTCTCTGTGGTAAAATATACACAACATAAATTTGCCATTTTACCATTTTTAAAGTGTATGGTTCAGTGGCATCAAGGAAATTCACATTGTGCAACCATCCCCATCATCCATCTCAAGGACTTTTTTCACTTTCCTCAACTGAAACTCTGTCCCCATTAAACATTAACTGCCTCCTCCCCACCTCCCCCTGCCCCTGGCAGCTACCATTCTGCTCTCTGTCTCTATGAATTTAACTACTCCAGGTACCTCATATAAGTGGAATTATATAATCATATAATATTGTTTTGCTACTGGCTTATTTCATTTAACATCCTGTCTTCAAGGTTCATTCATGTCAGCATGTATGAGAGTTTCCTTCCCTTTTTAAAAAAGATTTATTTACTTATTTTAGAGAGATAGAGAGATAGAGCCCAGTGGGAGGGGCAGAGGGAGAGGGAGAGAATCCGAAGTGGACTCCCCACCGAGTGCCCAGCCAGGTGCGGGCCTTGATCTTATGATCCCGAGATCAAGATCTGAGCCAAAATCAAGAGTGGGATGCTTAAACAACTGAGCCACCCAGGCACCCCAGAGTTTCCTTCTTTTTTTTTTTAATTTAATTTAATTTTTTAAGATTTTTTTCTTTTTTTGACAGAGAGAGAGCACAAGAAGGCAGAGTAGCAGGTAGAAGGAGAGGGAGAAGCAGGCTCCCCGCTGAGCAAGGAGCCCAATACGGGACTCGATCCCAGGACCCTGGGATCATGACCTGAGCCGAAGGCAGACGCTTAACAACTGAGCCACCCAGGCGCCCCAGTTTCCTTCCTTTTTAAGGCTGAATATTATTCCGTTTGTGTGTGTGTGTGTGTGTGTGTGTTTAATGTGATTTTTCCATATAGCTATCTCTATCTATATAGAGAGATACACACCACATTTTGTTTATCCATTCATCTGTTGATGGATACTTGGGTTGTTTCTACCTCTTGGCTGTGAATAATGATGCTATAAACATGTATATGTATAATCAAGTCTCTGATTGCAGTTCTTTTGGGTAGATACCCAGAAATGGAATTGCAGGATCATATGGTAGTTCTATTTTTAATTTCTTGAGGAACCACCATACTGTTTTCCATAGCAGCTGTACCATCCTACCTTCCCACCAGCAGCGCACAAAAGTTGCAACTTCTTCAGATCTTTGACAACATTTGTTAACTTCAGTGTTCTTTATAACAACAATCCTACTGGGTGAGAAGTGGTCAACAGTTATTTTTTGAATGAACCAACAATATCTCTAAAATTAGAATAATTACTCCTTATTGCATTGTATTTTGTCTAAGGATACTAGTGTTATCAAAAGAATGCTTATATGCTTTTGAGATACACTGTTTTCAATAGCAAGAACATTGGAGTGTCCATTTTATACAAGACATCTAATAGGCCCTAAGGCAAAATATATTGTTAAATTCAAGTTACTGTTTTAATTTAGATAAATAATGTCCATTGTCAATGTCCATTTATTCTAGAGACTGTACTAAAAGATCTTTCAAGGTTCTGTCCGATACAGTTTCATTTATAGAATGAAATTAAATATTTAAACACCAGAAAAACCAACATTCATCCTCAAAAAATTACACATAGAATTACCCAATGAGCCAGCAATTCCACTCCCAGAAGAACCGAAAACAGGTATTCAAATAAAAACTTGTACACAGATGTTCATAGCAGCATTATTCACAATAACCACAAGGAAACAACCCAAATGTTCATTAATGGATGAATGAAAAAACTAAATGTGGTATATTCATACAGCCATAAAAAGGGATATATGCTACAACGTGGATGAACCTCCAGAAGATGATTCTAGGGGTGCCTGGCTGGCTCAGTCGGTAGAGCATGAGACTCTTGATCTCAGGGTTGTGTGTTTGATCCCCAAGTTGGGCATGGAGCCTACTTAAAAAAAAAGAGAGAGAGAGGGGCACCTGGGTGGCTCAGTCAGTTGAGCATCTGACTCAGGTTTCTGCTCAGGTCGTGATCTCGGGGTTGTGATCTTGGGGCCATGATCTCGGGGTCGTGATCTTGGGGTTGTGGGATCAGCCCTGCGTTAGGCTCTGTGATCGGCAGGGAGTCAGCTTGAGAGTCTCTCTCTCCCTCTCCCTCTGCCCCTACCTGTGCTCATGCTCTCTCTCTCTCTCAAATAAATAAATCTTAAAAAAAAAGAAAACATTACCCTAAGCAAAAGAAGCCAGAAACAAAGGCCACATATTATATGATTCTATTCATATGAAACATCCTGATAGGTAAATCCATAGAGACAGAAAGCAGATTAGTGGTTGCCAAGGGCTGTGGGAGGGGGGAATGAGGACTACCTGCCCACTCGGGGTGATGAAAATGTTTGCAACTTGATAGAGGTAATGGTTGCATAACATTGTGAAAGTACTAAAGTATCACTAAATCATACACTTTTCAATGGTTACAATGGTGAAGTTTTTGCTCTGTGAAATTTACCTCAATTTTTTAACAAAAGTAACATACCTCCTCGCATTGGGGAGGGTGGGCTAAGTACACAGTGCTAAAGGCTAGAAGAAACAAGGGCTTCCTCCCATGCTCAAGTGCGCTCCTCTGAGCTAATGACTGTCAATGGTTTCTTACAAATCCTTCAAGAAAATATTGGTGCTTAAGCATTTTTTTTAATAGAAATTGGATCATATTCCACACACTGCTCTTCACCTTGTTTTTTCCATAATGATACATTTTAGTGATTTCTCTATGTCAACATGTTTAGTGCTGGTTCATTCATTTTAACAGGTGCATAGTAGTATTTTATTGACTGAATGTACCTTAATTTGTTTAGCCCCCTCTTGATGGATGCTTATGTTGGCTACTGCAGACCAAACAACTTTAAATATTCCTATTCAAAGATATTTGTGCACGTATGCAGACATACAAGATAAATTTTTCTTTCTTTCTTTTTGAAGATTTTATTTATTTATGTGTCAGAGAGATTGGGAGAGAGAGACAGAGAGTAAGCACCAGCAGGGGGAGCAGCAGGCAGAGGGAGAAGCAGGCTTCCCGCGGAGCAAGGAGCCCGATGCGGGGCTTGATCCCAGGACCCTGGGATCAAGACCCGAGCCGAAGGCAGATGCTTAACCTGCTGAGCCACCCAGGCGTCCCCAGCATAAATTTCTAAAAGTTGCTTTGCTGGGTGCTGTGGACCATATTTTTGACGCCGCCTTCCATTCATATGTTGAAGCTCTAACCCCCAATGTGACTCTATTTGGAGGTAGGGCCTTTAGGGAGGTAATTAAGGTTAAATGAGGTCATAGAGTACAGCCCTAACCCAGTATGACCGCTGTTCTTATAAGAAGGGAAGAGACACCTGACTTCTCTCTCTTTTTGCATATGGACATGTAAGCACAGAGGGAAAAGATAGCATCTTCAAGCCAGGAAGAGAGGTTTCACCCGAAACCAACCTTGACTGCACCTTGATCTTGGACTTCTAGCCTCCAGAAGTGACACAATACATTTCTGTTGTTGAAGGCACCGAGTCTGTGGTTTTCTTTTACGACAGCTGGAGCTGACTAATACACTGGGTCAAAGGATGTACACATTTTAAATTGGATAGATAGGGGCACCTGGGTGGCTCAGTTGGTTAAGCGACTGCCTTTGGATCAGGTCATGATCCCGGGGTCCTGGGATCGAGCCCCGCATTGGGCTCCTTGCTCAGTGGGGAGCCTGCTTCTCCCTCTCCCTCTGCTGCTCCCCCTGCTTGTGCTCTAGCCCTCTCTCTCTCAAATAGATAATAAAATCTTAAAAAAAAATTTTTTTTAATTTGATAGATAGGACCAAAAGAGTCCCCCAGAGCTTTTTCTCCACTTTATCCTTCCACAGACTGTGAACGAGACTAGTTTCTCCCATGCCCTCACCAGCACTGGGTATGATTATACTGTTTGACCTTTATCAGTCTGAGAAACACAGATTTTTGTGCATTGTAATTCAAATGGATGCTTGAAGTTGAGATTTTTCCAAATGTGTGTGTGACTTTTTTTTTTTAAGATTTTATTTATTTATTTATTTATTTGAGAGAGAGAGAGAAACAGCATGAGAGGGGAGAGGGTCAGAGGTAGAAGCCGACTTCCCGCCAAGCCGGAAGCCTGATGCGAGACTCGATCCCAGGACTCTGGGATCATGACCTGAGCCGAAGGCAGTCGCTTAACCAACTGAGCCACCCAGGCGCCCTGTGTGTGTGACTTCTAACGAAGCTTTTTTTAATCCTCCTTCTTCATCCCTGGAAGCCCATTATGTGGTATTACGTAAAAGCTGGTCCAACTCCACAGGGACATTTCAAGAAACTTTCTTTTTTTTTTTTTAGAGGTGGGTGGCAGGGGCAGAGGGAGAGAGAACCTTAAGCTGGCTCCGCGCCCAGCATGGAGCCCAATGTGGGGCTCGATCTCATGACCCTGAGACAAAATCAAGAGTTAGCCGCTTAACTGACTGAGCCACCCAGGGGCCCCTCAAGAAACTTTCTTTTTTGCACTTTCCATTTTTTCTTGCTCCTTGCATATTTTATGAGTTGGAATGGCTACAAAAGAAATAAAATAAGAGAACATTATTTTGGGAGCCTCTCCTACTTGATAGTAACATATTTAATTCACAGTGATTTGGGGAAATGGGCCATAGGTCCTATAGTATTATAGATGAACCTAATCTTCCATTGCGGTTAAATTTTCTCAACTGCCTGGTCACAATAAAATGGATTTGAACCATTTAGAACAGGGTTCTATGTGTCCACAGCACTGTTACAAGTAGCGACAGGAGGGGCTTGCCCTCTTTGTTCTTTGAAATCTGTTGAGCTAGATTCTCCCTGATCATTCTTTCCTCCTTCTTATCACTTGGGAATCCAAAGATGTGCCACCAGGACACTCTGCTCCAGGGGCTCCCAAGTGCCCCATTTGAGTTATATATCCCTCCAGCCTGTTCTCCAGGTGCTTGCATTTCAGCCAGGGGGAAAAAGATTTGGCTACAATGACATATATTAACTGGAAAACACAAGCACATACCCATGGACCTCTGGATTGTGACCAAGTCCCCTGACTTAATCCTCTTTGGGCCCCAGTGTTAAATGATGGTGGAATGAATGAATGAATGAATGAATGTATGAATGGCAAAGACACCAATTAGTTAAGTATCCAAATGTTTCCTGGGAAGGATGTTATTTTGGCCAAGAGGATGAGTGCCGCATTTGATCTTCATAGGAGTCAAAGTCACGACCTTGGAGCCACATTGGCAAGATGCGTGGCTTGAACAGATTCATCAAGCTGATATAACCTTAGTGTCACCCATGAGACTGTAATGTTTTACATACACACACACAAACACACACACACACACTAAACACACCCCTAATTATGATTTAAAAAGCTAGATAGAAATGCTGTCTTGTAACTCACTGTTTTTCAGCCATCCATTCACAGATGCTGATTAATCATTGAACATTCATTATGGTTGTGTGTTTTCAGGTCCAGTTTTAGAACTTTGAACAAGGTCAGTCATCTCATGTTGCTGTGGTCATAGTCCCTCGCGATTACGGACAGTGAATAACCGAGTCTCAAATATTCCCTCCAGCTCTAGGAGAAATGACTTCCAGTGTATCAGAAATTTGTTATATAGACTAGTTTCCAAGCAGATCAGAGGCTACAGACTGGAAACGGTTCCACAGTCACGATGTCATAGTGTTTTTTCCCAAGTGGTAACCTCGGCAGCTTCTCTTTGTGGAATATGCTGTGTGGCCTCCCCAGGTGTGTGCTCTACTCTCTGACTCGCTTTTCCCTGATGTGTAATGGGTTCTATCCATTTGTCCTCAGTGTGCACATTTTTAGTCAGCTTTTTTGCACGTCGGCCAAACATGGAAATTGCCGCTTGAGATTCTGGCTGCACTTTTCAAAGCCTATCAGAGTGTCCACAGACTTCAGGGTAACTCTGTAACTTACATTATTCAAATTTTTCTTGAATGAAATGCGTTTTAGGCTAGATACACAATAAGGGAAATGCTTGGCACCTTTTGTCGTGCATTTTACCTTAGAAAAGGACCCTGTGGCTTGGCTTACACATGTCCAGAAATAAAATTTGCCTTTCTGCTTCCTTCTGAGGCACTCAAAACATGATGTACAGGTTCCAAGCATATTTACTTCTGTTGGTAGCAATTCTCCTGTTGAAGAGGCTTGCCACAAAACATCCAGGAGGGGAGTCGGGTGGAGATGAATAACAGACTAGGTGTTGCTTGGACAGGGAGGGCAGAGCACTGACTAAGCACTTGAGTGCTGAAGGAGTGATTTTACTTTGGAAATCATTAAAAATGTGAAGTCACGGGGCGATTTTGTTTTGTTCTGTGTGGGTTGTATGGGTGTATGTGTTTAGGTATTAAAAACTTTGAAACCAAGGAGAAAGCCCTGATTGGTCTCCAACTTGCCTTTGGGGTCATTCTTCCCTTGTTTTAAAGAACAGTGCATGATCTCAGCTAAATAGTTCTATGGGCTGATCCCAGAAAACCCATGAGTTCTGACAACCTTCCTTCTTTTGTTTTTTCCCATCTCCTACTCCTGGCAGTTATCCTCCTGGGGGTGACTGATTAATCTGTGGCTCCCACCCACACTCATTACCCAATAACTCAAATGGTTGCTTGGCCATATCCTTAATGTTCTCAGTTTTTGCAATATGCATAGGCTGAAAATTTTCCAAATCATTAAGTTCTACTTCCTTTTTGCTTAACAATTCTGTCTTTAAGTCATTTCTTTCTTCTTGAATTTTACTATAAGCAGCCAGGTAGAGCCAAGCCACACCTTCAACCCTTTTTTTTAGAAATCACTTCAGTTAAATATCCGATTTCATTGCCTACAATTTCTACCTTCCAGAACACACTAGAACTCAAACGCAATGCAGCCACT